CTCAGGTTGACTGCTCAGTGAGGGATGCTCAACAAAAAGCAGACTGGATAGAACAGTGCTTGTTAGTGAATATAAGTGGGAGGCCACCTTGGCTCGGGTCTACTGCCCAGAGCCCTCTGGAGGCTTTCAGAGTGCACGGGATAGGGGGACAATGTAGCTCGATGAGTCATAAGGAACCTGGATTCAAGTTCTGGCTCAGCCACTGCCTGCCACTCAACTTTGGTGTGTTCTTTACTCCTGTGAGCCTCATTCAGCTCACCCGGAAAGGGGAAGCAAGGGCAGGCAGTGTGGTGTGAACTGACCAGGACTCCAGGTAGAGGAGTCAGGTTTGGCTAACACGGTGAGAATGGCAAGGAATGCTAGGCCTCGCTGTATGGAAAAGCTGCTGATTAGAACCCAAGCCTGAGGGAAAGTTGTCAGGGTTCTTTGAATTGGATGGGAGGTTTGTGAAAGAGTAGAAGGTTCTACTGGAGCTAAGCAGGGGTGGGCCATTCTAAGGCCTCGTCTCTGCTCAGAGGTGTCTGTTCTAGGGAATATTGATTTCACGCTGAACTTTGGTATACTTTAAAAGCAGAAAAGGGAAGAAAATCAATTGATTATTTTTTTTTCTTTCCTATAGAGGCTGTGTGCATGGATCATTTTTCTTTACCTTTGCTTGAGTAATTTGCCTTCACTATAGCCAATTAGGAGCTGTGCAACCTCAATGACTGACTCCTTTTGAATTCACTTATCTTATAATAGTGAATTCATGACTCATTATTATTCTTATAAAAAAAGAAGTTCCAGGAAGAACAAACAAATCATTCTGACTTCTGCACCCGCTTCTCTCCCTCTCTCCTTCTCCCTTTCTCCCCACTCTCCTCCCTCTTTCTCTCTCTTTCGATCACTTGGTTGTCACATGTCCTTATGATGTTTGCATTCATCTCGGTAATTTTAAGAATTTCTGCATCAATCCATTGATAAATATTTCTTCTGCACTTCCTGTGTCCAAAGTACCTAAAGAAAGTCAAATTATCTTGGGAATTATGGAGCAATACTTGCACAGTGTAAAGATCTGTTAGTACCTTCCAGATTCAGCCCACCTGGGCTAGAAGGCAAGCGTGTCTGGGAAAGGCTATTGGCTTTCCTAAAATAAAAGATGCATCCTTTTTCTATTTCTGCAGAATAAGAGATCCATGGCTGAGCTGAGTGCGGAGCACTGTATCACCTCGCAGGCCGTCATGAACTTGGAAAAGACAATTTGGGACCATTGAGATACTTCTTGCTCAAAGAGAGCAAAGATGTAGAGTGACTGGCAGAGCCCCCATGAGCAAGCATCCTGGTGGAGGCAAGACAGGAGAAGCCACTGATGGATAAGGAGCTGAGATATTCAGCAGAGGGAATCTGACAGCCTGGACAGAGAGTAAGATTTCTGTTCTGCCTTACAGTAAGGCAAAACGGACAGAGCGGGAAAGAAAACAGAGTTTGCTTCCTCTACAGACCACATTATGCCTGCTATTGGCTCGACCTCTGCAGGTCTGGAAATCCTTTGGGGGAGCCACAGAGCCAGGACAGAAGGGAGGAAGGCATAGGAGAGACTGAGCACCAAGAGTGAATTTCTTGCTGTCCCTGGAGACGATGTTTCCTTTAGGTGACAGCAGAGGTTAATATCCTGAGCAGCAAGTCACCAGGCAGCCTCGAGACACCTTGCTTGAACAAGCTGTTTTAGCATCTTGTTGTAGATTTCATTGAACTCTTCTTCTCTGAGCATAATTCTCTGAGCCAATTCATCTCTCCATGCAGAGATTCTTAATTCAGCTTTCTTGAAAAGTTCACGAACTTCTATCACTCCCACCTACCTGTATCCACATACACACTGTCCTCTCCCACCCATGCTCCTCAAATCCCCCTAAGGACACCAGCCTGCTAGGGATTTCAAGTTCACACACACAGACTTTTCAGTCTGCAGAGGGAGAAAATAAGGGTGGTGGTTTTTCCCCTGGCCCTTCTCCCCCTCCCCCTGTGCCTGTCCCTAACAGGTGGTCATGTTCTCATTCTTCAGCAGACTAGTTAATTTCAAAAGCAGCCTTAGAGGCAAGGACTTTTTTTTCCTATTCTTATTTTCATCAAGAGGTGAACGAAAATAATCACCTCGGGAGACAAAAAGCACTAATGAAAACCAGAGAGCAAAAGAGATCAGAGGACGACAGGGTTGGTTTTCATCTGGAGTCATTAGCGGCATCTTAGAAAGAAGACATGAATTCTGTTTGCAATTTCTCCGGATTGGGCAGAAAATACAGATCAAGTGGTTAAGGGGTAGGGGGTGGGGGGATCTTTTTTGAAAGTCCAATTTTTCACACACACAAAGAAACACAAGTTGAGGGAACCCAAAGCACTAACAACTTGATCTCCATAGAAAGCAACCCCATCGTGAGTGCTCATAAAAGCAAGCACACTGCCAGCCCCCAAGGACTGTCTATGCCAACTTCCAGAAAAAACTGAACTTACAGCCTTTGGAGATCAGTGCAGTCTTTGAAAATAAGAGGCTTACAGTCTCCAAACCACTTGCTAAGTGGCCAAGGCCCATCTTCCTAAGGTGGTCCCAGGCCTGCAAAGCTCCAGTTGACAGAGGCTTTGGAAATTAAAGGCCAGGTCAAAAGCAGGCCCGGAGCTCCAGCCCTTCCTGCCCCGGCCATGGCTACAAGTGGAAAGGGAGTATCATCCCTGAGGAGAGCCTGGCAGGGCCCCACAATACTGCCCCAGGGCAGCGAGGCCCCGCTGGGGTGTGTGGCCCAACCCACAGTGCCTGTGCGCATCACACAATCCTTGGGAAGTGTTGCAATTCTAACCCTTTACAGACGATTCAGGGAGAGAGGGAGTGTGCAGCTTGGAGAGAAAGTTGAAGGGGGTGGGCAGCACATTTGGGGATGTGGACATCAAACAGATGGAATTTTAATGAAAATACTTAAGCCTTTTTAATGCATGGGTGATATAAAACTGCCTCTAGTCTGTTTGCCTTCCGGGAATTACACAATGTTTAAAAGATCACAATATTAAGAATTTGGAAATAAAACGCAGATTTAGAAAAGTATATTTATGCCAACCCACCCATTTCTGGGTGTATTTACACTAAAACAATGTCTTGTCTCTCCTCTAGTCTCTTGGCTACCTATCTCCCTTCATCCATCTAACTAAAATCCAAGGAAAGCAAATTGCCACTATGATCATTTCCCTAAAGCGGTCCTCATTCACTTTGCTTTTCTTCTCTTTTGGAATAAAAGTCTGTCATAAATGTTTAAATAAATGGAAGTCTTCCCACTGTTAATGACTAGCTGTATGAAAGGCTTTTCATTTTTTTAAGAAGGGGGTGTGTGTGTGCGTGTGTTTAAAACAGTCCCTATTAATTTCTTGATATTGATTCTCTGGCTGGGGAAGAGCATATAGTATTCAGCATAGAGCTCCTCTGCAGAATATGTTAAAGGCAGCAGTTTGGATTGAGAAAGGGCACCAAATGCAGTATGCGTCAAATAGACCATCGCTCAATGAAGTCACTTAGCTATTCAAAACATGTTCAGCCATCACTCAACCGTTTGCACCAAGAATGTTGGGAGGGGGGCATGGGATTTGTGCTCTTTCCCAGATGTAATCATTTCCCAAAGAGTGGCTTTTGCTCAGTTTGGGTTAGACCCTGGGGCCACATCAGTTTCTCCCTCACCCATCCATTTCTCTCTCTTCTCCCCCATCCCCTGGTCTCAACTCCTTGCATCACCATCCCATGTTGAGCTTAACAAACAATCCTGCAGTCCCTGCTTCCCGACGCTGCCTCAGACGGCCTCCAGTATTGGTTCATATCAGAAGCAAAGCACATAAGCCTTTTTTCCCCCCACACGGAAGCATATGTATCTCTCTGTGCTCGTCTTTCTACGGGTGGCTTGCACACACAGACATATATAGCCATTCAAATGCAGTCCCTCATATTAAAGTCTGTTGCCAAATGCAGGTTGGATGACCCACAGGAGTTTTTTTCTGTGCTTATTAATGTGTCCCAGAAGTACATGCCTTCATCCATAGCCTGATCCCCCAGCCTTTACACTGTGGCGGCCCCTGTGCTCACAGCACAGACACACATGCCTCAACACTCCGCAAGATCAAGGCAAACAGCTGACACCCCCTCAACCTCCCCATGCCCTCGCCTCCCTCCCTCTCTGCCTGCCTGCACAATGTCTGATTCTCAAGCCGGCTGCAATGCTGACTCTACTAGCTTCTGGCTAACAGACATGTCACTCTGTGGAAGCCTAACCCGCAAGTGAATTGCTGTTTATTAGAACTTGGGCTTGTTTCCTGTGAGAGACGTATGTATTTTTAGACTTTGTAAACGTTAAAACACACAAATACACACACGCAGCCAGCCACCTCGAACGATCTGTGTGGCTCATAGACATTACGAAATGCTCTTGAACTCAGCTTGAGATCCTGGAATAATTAGGATTTACCACATAAGGATTCTTAGAAACAACATATTCTTTTTTTTAAATAGGGAGATTTGCAGATGGTGATGCATCTAGGACTTTTGGGGAGTAAGGAGAAGAGGAGGGAAAAGGGAAGAGCATTTTTGAATTCTTCATTGCAAAAAGAGAAACAGCATAGACAGAAGCAATTATTTTACCCTCTCATAGATGGCAATGCTAAATTGGATGGTAAATCCTAATGACTCCAAAGCAGGCAGAACACCTTTGACTTTTTAAAGACAATCTCTTGTCGTTTTCACCATGTCATAGATTATTCCAATGAGGATGTTTGAGGGGAAGAGGGTGGTGGAGGCAAGGGAGTAGAGTATGGGTTTTGCTTATTGATTTTTTTTTTCCTCTGAAACTAACCCAACCAACCTTGATCGGTGGTGGAAGGAGTGAACTAAGAAAATGGTGGAATGTAAAGGGGACTTATTTGGAGGAGGGTGGGGGGGGGGGAGTGAAAAGGGAGGGGTGGGGTGGAGAGGGGGGAGGAGATGGGAAGTCAAATACCTTCTAGGCAGCAGGTTCTCCATAATCCGGAATGGGTCATAACTTCCTCGTTCTTTTTGCTGGTTTCATTCTCACTGACACTTTTGGTCTTGCAAACCCCTCTGGAGTAGAGCCAATAGTCGGTTCCCACAGCTATGGTCATCAGGCTGAAGGCAGCGAAAGCACCAACGGTGGTTAAAAGCATTTGAACACCTCGATCAAACAGCCCCATAATTCTTCATTATATAAACACCCAACCGACTTCTGGTTCTCGGGAGAGTGTGTGTGAGGGTGCAAGTACTAAAGCCAAAAAAAAAAAAAATAAATAAAAATAAAAATTATTCCACTACTAATATAATGGATATATGTATGAATAGAGAATATGGAGAGTTATAAAAAAAGGGAGGTAAGAAAGCTCACGGAAAAGAGTGTAAATTATAAAGATCACACGGGAAGAGGCTTGCCTTTTGAGATCAGAAACTGTTCCAGTTGCAGTGTTTTTTTAAAAAAAAAAAAAAGAAAAAAATAAAAAGACACCCCCCACCCCCCCAAGTGAGATGCCTTAATCTCTTTTTCTAAAATTCTGGTCTCCAGTTTCCATATGTGATAGCTAATTTGGAGATGGCTTCCACAGTGAACCAGGGAACAGCCGAATTCTCAACACCATTTCTCATGGTCGGGACCTAGACAGTTAGAGATTGTAAGAGCCGAGATGCAACCTTCGGTCTTCGTTCTCGGCTCTGCGGCCTGCGCCATGAAAATCCTTTGCTTCGCCAGTTCTCTTCCTTGGGGGGTCTCGGCGCTTTCGTTTCAGACCAGACTTCCCAGTATTCTGTAAGCCCTTGAGCTCAGCTGCACAGGTGCGGGGGTCTCGCTTTCCATGGTTTTGCCCGGGCAGCGGCGGCGGCGGCGGCGGCAGGGCGGGCAGGCGCGGCGGCGGCGGCGGCGGCGGCAGGACGAGCGGCGGTGGCGCTTATTGTTGTTGGTGGCGGGGGTAGTGTTGGCGAAGTGGGGGAGAGAGGGGGTTTCTCCCGGAGAATCGAGGCGGGTTTCCCTCCCGCTATCTGCAAAGCTCCTGGAAACGAGGGAGCCGGCGTCTTGCTGCAGGGTGGGCCGCGCGCCTGCCCCCCACTCGCTGCCGGCTGGGCCCCCGCGGAGGCGCTCCCACCTACTGCATTACGGGTGGTGCTGAACCGGACAGCTCCCTGCGCCGCCCGCTCCGCGCGCTCCCCGGCTCCCAGGGCCGCCCTCCAGGAGGGGGGCGCGGGCCAGAGTCCTCCCTCCCCGGGGCAGCAAGGCCAGCGCAGAGCGGGGGCCGCCTTTCCTCTTTTTACCCCTCTCCCAAATCCTAAAATGAGCGCTCTCCTGGGCTCCCGGGGCTTAGAGGAAGGCGTAGCTAGAGATAGCTCTCTCCCTCTCCCTCTCTCTCTCTCTCTCACACACACACACTCTCTCTCTCTCTCCCCTTCCCTCCCCCCTTGGTGTTTCTTCCAGCTCAGCCTCCTTCTCATTCCATCTCTACGTGCCCAGAGCTTCAAATACAACCCTCCCATCACAGTCAGACGGGCACAAAACTTCAACGAGCCGTTTCTCTGCCTGGAAGCGGCGAGCATGTAACCTGGACGGGTAATTACAAACACGTCTTTACGTGTTTTTTAAATCATTGTTTTCACTTTTCTTTGCTGGGGATTTATTTTGTTGGTCCGTTAGCTGTATCTTCTTTCGGTTTTCCTCTCTCCTCTCTGTCTCTCTCTGGCTTACCAGGGGGTGTGCATTGCTCTGTCTGCGTCTCTGTAGTTTTCCGTGAAATTCCAAATCTTGCTTCTACAAGCAGACATTTTGGAAAGATTATTCGTGGAAAAGGGTGCAAAAGGGCGACTCGTAGCTGGGACTTGAGTAATGATTTTCATTTCAGGGATAAACATGTTCTCAGGGGAAGTGGGTGAAATGTGAATCCTTCTAAGTATCCTAAGTCATTCATAAACTGGTTTGGAAGAGATAAAAAATCTTCCTTCTATGAACACTGGAACACCGAAACCCTCCTCTCTTCCTCAGAAGAGTCATTGTGTGTGGGTTAATTACAGCGTCGCCTCTCATTTCTCTTATGTGCAACTTTTCCTTAATGTGACCTCTGGTAGAAAGAAGCACATTAATTTCTGCTGCTACAGATTACATTTTTTTCTCTGATCACTTTTATAGTTAAGTGAGTGAGAGCACATGAGGCATGATGGGGGTGCATGTTTTTGCATGTTTTTGATATTTTGTGTGTGTGTGTATGTGTTGGTGGGGGGGGACCCTGGAGAGGATGTGAGTATGATGAGTCAATTGAGGCAGGGGGAGTTGAGATGTTTCAATCCCATAACTCATTATTCAATACTTTCTTCTCTCTCCCTCTACTTTTTTTCTTGAGATTATTTGCTTGACAATTTCTCAGTGATGTGGTGATTATCAGAGAGTATATAAAAGATGAGTGAACTAAATACAGTCTTTCTTTGGTGTAAAGTCCATTGCCTAACTTCCTTCTCTCAGCTCAGAGTTGGTCTGTAGGTACGACCAGTGTATTCTTTTTGACAGAAAAACTACCTGTTTCTTTGCCCAGCACAAAATTTCCTTTCTACCACTCTGTTCTTTTCTCAGAACGGAAAGGCTCCTATGAGGGGCAGTTGCTGTGCTTCTGGTATCTGGGAGAGGTTTAGTGTCTGGAGAACAGAACCAAGGTTTCTGCAACCTCTGCTAAGGTACCTTTGGGGTACAGCAAGAGCTCTATTTGCAGACTGAAGACTTCTCCACTTTGGTTTCTTGTCCTGTGAGGATGGGGATGGGTATTGGAATGGGGAGGGCTGATCTGCTGATCCCATACAGCAGGGAACCTAGCAAGTTCAGCCAGTGGCTCAGGTGGCTGATTTTCAAGGCTTCTGTCCTTGAAGCAAAGGTGAGGGGCAGGCACCAAGTCCTCTTAGATAGGCTAGGCCTTTTGAGGAGAGTGGAGAGATTCTTGGGGGTAGTCACATGAGCCAAAGAGGCTTGCCCTCACTTATTGCTGTCACCTTGGTTGTCTTTGACCTGTCCAAAAATCCCTTTAGACTGCAGATAGAGCCCTTCTTCTCATCTCCCTCCCGCTTTCCTCTGAAGGTTTTACTCAAAAGAAAAAAATCAGTAACAGAGGCTCAGAAGCTTCTGTTTGTCCACAGAATCTGCTAATATCTTAGCCACTGACAGTGGCTGCAGCTTTAGCACCGTTTGATTAATCTTCTGGTCAGGTGATCATTGAGAAAAGGGAAAGGGGTGGGGGAGGAAAGCAACAGCTTTTAGGCTTCCAGCATGGACAGTGCAGAGACTACCAGAGAGAGAATGGGCCTGGGGCACAGCTTGACTCTGCTCAGTAACGGCATAGCTCCAAACAAGTTAAGTTCCTAGAGCCTCTGTCTTACCATATGTTAAATGGGCACTTTAGCACCTACCTCTTCCTTTCTGAAGCTCCTCCCAGCTTCTCCCTGCTTTTCACCACCAAGCCACCCATCCTATTCAGACCTCCACCATCGTACATATAGCACATAATTGTGTATGTGTTGTCTCTTTCACTGATTTGAAAGCTCTTTGAGGTCAACAGTTGTGTCTTGTTCACTGTTATATCTTTGGGACCTGGAGTATAGCTTTATACATAGTAGACACTTGATGAACAATGGCTGGAGTGATCACAGTAAGGGTTAAATGGTAGCTGTGAAGTGCCTGACACATAGTAGGCACTCAATAAGTGTAGGTTTTCTCTCATTTCTCCTCCCCTCTTTTACATCCAAATTGGCCTCCTCCTCCTCCTTGTCCTCCTCCTCTCCTTCTCCTTCTCCTTCCCCTTCCCCTTCCCCTTCCCCTTCCCCTCCTCCTCCTCCTCCTCCTCCTCCTCCTCCTCCTCCTTCTTCTTCTTCTTCTTCTTCTTCTCTTTTTCTTCCTCTTCTTCTTCTTCCTCCTCTTCTTATTCCTCATGGGGTCTGCCTGTATCACCCAGGCTGGGGTGCAGTGGCGTGATCTTGGCTCAGGCACAACCTCCACCTCCTGGGTTCAAGCAATTCCCCTGTCTCTGCCTCCCGAGTAACTGGGATTACGGATGCCTGCCACCATGCCTGGCTAATTTTTGTATTTTTAGTACAGCCAGGATTTCACCATGTTGGCTAGGCTGGTCTTCCCAATCTAATTCTTCTTCTTAGGTTCCTTCTGCTGACCAGGCAAGGCTACCTGGGAAGAGCTGGCTTGTTACAAGCCGCGTTGGATGGTTGGGACGCACCAGGCATACTTAGTACTTAGTAGCTGCTAAATGGATACTCTTAGGGGGGCAGCTTTGTATGCCTGCATTTGGTTACTTGGGAAGGGCTTAGAGGAAATTAGCTGAAATGCCACAGGCCTATTTTGAGCTGCTGCTTCGATGTAGTGAAAATAACATGGGATTTGGGTGCAGCAGACCTGGCCTTGAAGCACAAAGCTGCTATTTCCTCACATATGACCTTGAACAGTCATTTAATCTCTCTGGAAATGTGTCCCTTCATCTGTCTAGAAGGACCACAGATATGAGCATTATGGTGTGATTGTCAGTGTTACATGTTAACAGCAATGTGAAAAGCTATCATTTGTTGGGCATTTGCTTTGTGCCAGGCACTGACCTAAGCGGAATCCCACAATGATCCTATGAGATAGGTGTCATAATTATTCCCATTTTACAGATGGGGAGACTGAGTCACATAATGGTTTAACTATCTGGCATAAGGTTCCCCAGACAGTAAGTGGCAGAGCTGGGAATCTAGTCCAGCAGCTTGGCTTGAGAGCCTCTGTCTTAACTGCTGTGTCTTGACCCAAGACATGAACTTTCTGAGTAAGGGTATTGCACTGAGGCTATTTACTTCTCATCCACAGATCCGCCATGCATTTGTGGAGCAAATCCTAGGAGCCAGGCATTTTCACACAGATTCTCACACATAACTGCCCAACAATCCTGCAAATGCATATTAATAACTTTTCCTATAGGGAGAGTAAACAGAGGCTCAGAGAAGTCATCTATCAAGTTGCAAGGTCATATTTCAAGTCAATGTAACAGCAGATATTTGGACGCTTTGCACTGCTTCAAGTTCTACTTCCTATAGGTCCAGAGTTTATTCATTCAAAGAATTGAGCACCTACTGTTTGTGAGATATCATGCTAATTCCTGGTGATGGTGAGCAGGACAAACATAGCCCCTGCCTCCAAGAACCTATAGACAAGCAAGAGGAGTGAGTATACAGGTGAAGAATGACCACATCGAAGTAAAGAAAATAATGCAAAAGATATTGTGAGGCCATGGGGCAGGGAGACCAAACTCAACCTTAGGGACTGAAGAACATCTTCCCTGAGGACAGGATATTTAAACTGAGGTGTAGGAATGAGAAAGAGGTACGTAGGCCAAGCTGGGGGTGGTTAGAGGGTGCAAAGGAAGCTTAGAATAGGAACATTTCAGGCTGGGAGAATAGTTTGTGCAAAGGTTCAGAAGTGTGAGTGAGATGATTGGCCAGTTTCGGGGGAAAAATACTAAGCATGGCCGATCCCAAGACGATAATAAGAAATCTGTTAGGCCAAGCACCTGGAGACCATGGAGGGGAGGTTGGAGGATGAGCAACAACCTGGAAGAAGCTGGTGGGATATGGAAGGAGAGAATCAGCCCTGGAGGCAGGAAGACAGTGGGAGACAGGAAGGCAGTTGCTGCTGAGCTCTAAGCAAGAAGTGATGGTGGCTTGGACCAGCACAATGGCAATGGGATGGGGAGAAGTGAAGGTAATCGGGATATTTGGGAAGAAATTGATGACTATTGATGTTCACTACTGAGATGGGCAACTGCGAGGCAGAAGCAGGTTGGGGTGTGTCGGGGGGTGGTGGGGAACAATGCAGGAAGGTGGGGAAAGTCAAGAATTCTGCTTTGGCCATGTATCTAGTTTTGCTACATTCTATTGCCTCTTCACTTCCTGCTCCCAGCCTCTATCTTCTTGGCATGTGAATTAATTAATTAGCAATGTAAAGATCTCACGCAATTACATTACAGTCCCACTGGACTGTAGGCCCCATGAAGAAAGAGATTTGGGCTGTTCGCATTGTATTTCCAACACTTGGAACAGAACCTAGCACACAGTAGGTGTTCAATCAAAACGGATATCTTTCTTGCTATAAAATTTCAAATGCATGTCTTCTCTGTGTTAGGCCCTGTGCTGAGGTACAAGGGATGCAGATGGGATTAAAATATCATATCAGAGAGATTGACAAGTACACAGCTGACCCAGGGCATACCGACCAGCCTGGGAGAGGGGTGGGTGTCTGGCTTTCCCCACTACGTGTGCCCACAGTCCCTGTGTTCATCCTCTTGTGGCACTTCCGTGTTTTGAACTGCTGTT